TCAGGGATAATTTCATCATCTACTAGATGAAGCATCAGTACAGGAACCTTGTCGATTATTTTAAAAAAACTACGAAAGAAAAAAAACTTTGCAGCCGGCGTTGCTCATCACTTTTCGTCTCTTTCTCACGTGTTAAGAACCCGTCTCATGTTCAAAGAGAGGCAGAACAGCTCATCCAGCCAACGGCGCCTTTTCTCGACAAGTCTTAACGATGTGGATATTGACATTAAATGACATGAGTGGAAAATGCATGCAACAGGCTTGAAAAACAGTCACACAGTCTGTCGTTCAAATGACCTGTAATTTTGATATTCTGCCATTGAAGAATTCTTGCTCGGTCGCTATGTCGCGCCAGCTTTTTCAGCGCTCTCCGCGGTTTCGCGTGAGCGCGTGGAAACATCTTAAGAAAAAAAAATATTTGTGCTCCTGTACCTCTCCGTTTCCTGTACATGTCACAAATCAGTTTGCGGACAAACCTCAACACCGCGAAGAATCGATAAGTGCTGCACCAGATTCGTCAATTATTGCATGATCACGTCTCAAAACTTGCAGATTCGATCTTGATCAATGCACTGGTGCAACGGATTTTTTGTAGGAGCCAAAGAGCCTGTTTTGCTCCGTGAGAAGTCGCTGCCCGTTTCGTGAGTCACGTGCTATGAAAAACGCACGTGGCTGTGTTTTGCATCAGTGACGAGCGTGCAGACCTCTCATACGGCATTGTGCTGGGCCGTACGTTGACAACCGCACCTAGGCGAGGAAGATGGCAGCCTCCGAGGAAGTCGGGAAATGCGCTGTTTCAGCACGGGCAATACCCGGTGTGATTGTGGCAGGATGTATGACATACGGGTGAAATGTGGTTTCTGATGACATATTTCTGTAAAGAAATATACCGATGATCAATAGATATGCCCTGAACTGCTGTACTTAAAAACTGCTGAAACCCATACATTGCTGGTGAAAACCACCGAAACGTGGCAACTTCGACAACCCGATGTTAGCACATTGCCAAACTGGGTTAGTTTCTTGGGCAGTTAAGGTGGTACCGAGTCTGCAAAACTGCGCTCAGCGAGAGCAGAACTCGCGTTAGTCCCATTTTGCCACCAACACCTCGCGAACTAACAAACGTAGGGCGCAGAGGGTTAGGCCAGGTCAGCCGAGATGCATGATAACCTAGTTCGACTAGCGCCTCAAGGTGCATTTAAGGTCAATTATTGTCAGCATGAATGTTCTCAGCTCACAATACCAAAAGCCCAGCAGTCCATGACCTTCTGTTGTCTTCGCGATCCCACCCTCAGAGTGTAGATGGCTAAATGTGAAATAGAAATAGCAAGGAATCCTTACGTTGCGTTGTGAATCCCTTGCGTTGTTACGCTGCGTTGCGTTGCGTTGTTAGCAGTCTGACGCTGCGAGGCTAATGGTGCTATAGGTTGAAAGCTGTTGGCGGTGTTGATGAAGGTTAGTGTCAATGCGCCATTACAACCAGAGCTCACTTCTGCAGCGGCATTAGAAAGCTAGCCGCATGGCCGTTGTGAAAAATGTTCAAACGAGGGAGGGCGGAGGTGAAGCGTTCTTGTGTTATTTAATATCCCGCTCCGATGCTTTAACTTGCAACGGTCACGCAAGACAGCTCCGGCGCTCTGCCCTACAGCGCCACACTGTTGGGCTTGTGAATCGGCACTCGGCCGGCAGCCACGCAATACTCGCGTCTGCCTCACTCACCACCGCCCGTCCGCACCACGCGCGACCTTCCGTGACCTTCACGCAGCGCCCTGCCGCCTCCCGGCAGCCGTTTTATCGCCGCGCCGGATGCCTGGCCGCGTTCAAACCGGACGCGCGCTGCCGCCGTCTGCCGGCCGTTGGTAACCGCCTCGGGCGGCAAACGGGCAGAAAGCGAACACCAAGGGGCCCGCAGTGCGCCGGGACTTCAACAGGGGTGTGGCCGCCGGGGGCGATCTCACCACCTGAGTGTGAGTCAGCGGCGGAAGCGCGTCGCCCCCGGCTGACCGACCGGCTCGCGCGGCGGACATACTGGTTTGTGGAAGTACGCACGGTGACGTACAGGCCGTCGGACTGTCAGTGGTCACCTTTCGGCGAACGTTTCAAGGAAGGTGGGGAAGCGGACAGCCAGAGCCGATGAGCGGTGTTGGGGCTAGCTGGGCGATATCGTTCGCGAGTGAGGTCGCTTTGATTTGGCCCAGTTATGTCTGAACGCAGCGAGCACGTGAAAACGCGTCCCCCGTTTACATGCTCGCGGCTTGAATACACCATGCTCTACGCGTCAAGCACCGAGTGGTTTTGCTCATGAGTTTCCTGAATGCAGCTGCTTATCTTGCCCGGCCTTTCCACAGCACGCCGAAGGCACCGGAGTCATCAGAAGACCAATCAAGGCTGCCATATTTCCGCTATCGGTGATTCAGCTATTTGCTCACGGGCTGCTCAGTTCCGGCGCCATTTAGAGGGCTTGTCCCATTGGTTTATTTGATGCTAGTATTTGCCTGCAAGCGATCACTAGCACTACAGGCTCGTGATGCCGCCACAGCGTGGGATGGGGACGTACGTGGCTTTACTTTTAGGAAATGAACATTACTCTGATGGCATGGATGTTGTTTCCCTCTTCAGTTAGGGGAGGGGAGAAATCCGGCGTCCCAAGTTTAAGAAAAAAGTGGGCCAAATCCGAGAAGATACCCCTTTTTGGGATGTCTTTGGGGAAGTTAAAGCCCCTTTTGACTGTTCAGCCCCCTAACTCATTTTGCGGAACCCCATCCTTGCCCGATGAGTGAGTCTGATCTCCTAATTTAGATGTCATTTTGACAAACGTCCGCTCTTTACGTGGGGTTATTCCTGCATAACTGGGATAACTCTATTAAAGGGAGTGTTTTACATTTGTGTGGTGTTTGAAATTAAATAATCATTTGAAAATCATTCGATGCAGTTCACAGCCTTGCGCTTCTTAAGACCTAAACCACTATAGTTGCTGGGCAACAACCATCGGAGCAAACAAATCGTTCACTCCTATCCTTGATTTTAGTGCCAGCGTTACGCCGCTGTTCCGCATCGCGGCGCTGTTTCGTAAGCCGACTCACTGTGTGGGGTGGTAAACTCTCTGTCGCGCCATGTTCGTTGAATCCTGGAACTGCTATTCCCAAGCACAGTTTGCCTTCACTCAGAGTGCAAGGAAGGCGAGCTGTGGTGTTTCGGCGGGCGCAGCCCCTCTAAAAATATCGACGACCGTCCAGGTTGCGTCCGTGATGCTTGTCATGAATCGCAAGCACGGTCACTACTGCCGCCCAGCCAGACACCGGCGGTCGGTCGTGAGGACAGCTGGCCTGGCCGACGCTCTCCAAAGACGAAACCACTTCGACCGCCACGCGATCGCGCGACCCGGAAGCTGCGAACGGCTCGCCTCCAGCCGGCCCAGCCGACCATGACACGGGCGTGCGGACGCGCCGGCGGATCTGGCAGCGCCAGCCGCCGCGTCTGGCAGCGCGCCGGACACGACTTGTCTGGCGCAGGTGTGGAAAGTTTCCGGGCCAGCGCCTCGCGCTGGCCGTCAGATGCACGGCAGATTGGCGAGACCAGGCGGGCGAGACGCGACGACAGGGCAGTGAGCTCGATCCGCCCGCTAGACGAGGCAGAAGAAAGCCAAACGGCCGGCCGCGGCGAATTAGTCACGCCCCGCGCGCGGGGCGGCTGCTGGGCGTTATCGATTGGTCGGAAAGTTTCTGCCGTTTACAGGCCATGAGGAACGAGGGTATGTTGCGAGTGAATGCGGAACTGGCCTCTAGAAAATGGGGGCGTGGACACAGCGCGTGTGCGGAACGCAAATCTGCTCGGAGAATAAATGGGGATTTAAGTACGTTTATGATCGATCGCTGCTCCTAGGCAAGTGTTTGGCGGTTGACTGCCCAAAGGTGAAATCTTTTAAATTTATTTATCAATGTCGTCAGAACTCCTCAACGGGCCGAAAGCCGGAGGAGACATCCTGGGCTTCCTCCCAGCTCTCAAAAGGTGGGGTAAAATGCCCCTCCTCCCCACTGCGGTGGAATCCATCAAAGCAGTAAGGCGGGGAATGCTGTCTGGCACGTGCAGTCGTCAAGTACTTGAGAAATTGAGGTTTTGTCGACAGATGGCAAAATTGGTCTGCCGTGCTCGTGGTCTATTTAAGCATGTGAATGGGCAGTAATCGGTATATCAGCGAATAACGACGCATACCTGAATCATGAATGATGCCCCGCTGTTTGACGCAAATCATGCCATCTGCACCTTTCAAGGCAGGCCTGTTTTTTCTGTCGAGATTAATGTGGACATCGTTTTTCTGCGTGTCCTGCACCAGGGCCGATACAATCAATAACATGCTAGCCAGGTTACGTTAAATTGGAAGCATCGACATAGATCTGCCCATCTTTCTCACGGAACAGTGATTTTCTACAGTGCGACACGTGTGGTGCAGAACAGCGCATTTTGCTGCATTGAACTACCTTCCTATGGTGATCTCTTGTGTTGGTCTCAAAACCCATGACGAGCCCCTATAAGTCTGCAACGCCCAAGCAAGCCGGGAACAGTCACCATTAATCGCTACTCCATATATCGGTTCCGCATTTTTACGGAGGTGACTCGATGCGCACTGCGGACCGGTGACCAGTGTCACGCGACGATGATACATGTGCAATCGGCTGAGGGGCACGTTCGAGCGCTGGAGTACGCCCAGCAACCATGAAACACGGACGAGTCACCAGCTAGCATGGCGTCACCCGAGCGACCGGCCCCGCAAAATGGCTGCTGCCTGCTCCAACACACGATATTTGTCGATAAACGGCAGTGATGTGCTCACGTTCCCTTTGGCCCTAATTCCCATTTCCGTATTTTTTAGAACCCAACGTGTCGGCTCTCCGAGCCATTCGTGAAGGTCACGTGACCGTCCCGCCGTCCCGTTTCATTGATGACCATATATGGTCAACTCGTCGCTGATTGGCTGACGGCAGCACGCGGCGCCGGCCCAGATCGCCGGCCGGCACCGAGGTAAAGTCAGGAGAAAATTCTTCACGAGCCTCACTCCTGTGTCGAACAGTGGACGTCGAGGTGCCCGGTTCTAGTCTGTGATATTTATTCCGGTAAGTGAACAGTGCGTTCAGTCTCTGGCAGCAGTGCCACCGCTCGTTCTTGCTGGTGATCTCATCGTGCTTGCGGGGTGGGTGCGCCAGAGCGTAGGCGGGCATGCATTTCTAGATTGCGAAGCAGGAATGTATTGGGGGATTGGTGGCTGCAAATGTGCTGAACTGTTGTCCAGTATTTGGTTCTGGTCTGCCTGTGGTCCGTCCTGCATCTCTCCGGTATTCTTATTTCACATCTGGTTCATCGGTGCTGAGTGAGACTGAATTAGTCCCACTTGTGATCTATGGGGGACCCTGCAGGCCATTCGTCAAAGGGCGTTTCACCGAGGGCTGTTGCCCGCCGGGCCGACGCCTTCGGGTGTTTAAATTGTTGGGTTCAGTCCTATTTTCTGTATCGTCTCCTACCATGTGGTATGGGAGTGCTTTCTTGACTGTTGCGGTGTTATAGAGCCTCTTGCTCCCCCATTTTGCTGCGGTTTCAGCCTTAATCCTTACGCAGGGGTTTGGAGACACGAGTTTTTCATATTCGAGTGATAACTGCCTTGGCTGTAGCGTTCTATATCTGAATTTGTTACAAATGATGTTTCGTCGGACAGCGCTTGCGAGTTTCAGCCGATGCAATCTATGCCAATACTGAACAACGTGAGAATTTGATTTGTGGTTGATCAGCGCATCTTTCGCGTCATCCGAGTCCCTGGTGCGGATTCATATTCTCCCGCCCCTGCCGCGCCCGCCGGGCCTCGCAGACGTGGCGGCCGGTGGGCGTTGACCCATCGATTTCCGCCCGGCGCGGCCGGCCGGCCCGCGCGCCGCTTTCATGCCCATATAAGGAGCGGCGGCGGAGCGCCAGCAGCCGGCCGGTGATTCAGGCCGCCGCCGCGCGCCGGGTGACGTTGACCTTGGGGCGCGGCCGGCCGGTGCCGCCGGGGTAGGGGGCATCCGTGCGACGGACGCCGAGCCCGCGGGTGGCCTGGTCCCCCTTGCCCGCCGCGAATAATTATGGAAGGGATAGGATTTGCGGTGGCCGGGGTAAAGTAGTTGGCAAGATTGGAAGAAGCCTGTTTTTACACGGGAGGTGATGCATTTTCTGGCTGGATTAAATGCGGCTTAGGTGCTCACTATTGGTGTCTGTCAATCTGTTGCACAGTACACTCTGACAGGTGTTGGCCAGTTGTCCTAACAGTTTGTGTTTCTCTTTGCAGTAACTCCGTAACTCCGCAAACATGTGCGACGACGAGGTTGCCGCTCTGGTGGTCGACAATGGCTCCGGCATGTGCAAGGCCGGCTTCGCCGGAGACGACGCGCCCCGTGCCGTCTTCCCCTCCATCGTCGGCCGTCCCCGTCACCAGGGCGTGATGGTCGGCATGGGACAGAAGGACTCGTACGTCGGCGACGAGGCCCAGTCGAAGCGAGGCATCCTGACTCTCAAATACCCGATCGAGCACGGCATCGTCACCAACTGGGACGACATGGAGAAGATCTGGCACCACACGTTCTACAACGAGCTGCGTGTGGCGCCCGAGGAGCACCCGGTGCTGCTGACGGAGGCTCCCCTGAACCCGAAGGCCAACCGCGAGAAGATGACCCAGATCATGTTCGAGACGTTCAACACCCCCGCCATGTACGTGGCCATCCAGGCGGTGCTCTCGCTGTACGCCTCTGGCCGCACCACCGGCATCGTGCTCGACTCTGGCGACGGCGTGTCCCACACCGTGCCCATCTACGAAGGTGAGCAGCAAAACCATGCATCTCGACTTCATGGGCAATCACCAGGAATTTGTGTTGGACGAAGTAACGGTTTCGCGACGCTGTATTGCAAATTACTGCTCCTGATTTTTTAATTCAATTTCTTATTTATATTTAAGGAATTAAAACCTCCATCGCTTCAAGTAATATACACATTAGAATTGGCATGTCTTGCATGTATTTACAAAATATTTCAGTGTTGCATTAACCTAGGTACTGTGACAGCGTCCTGACATCCGTGTGTGTGTGTTTCAGGTTATGCGCTGCCCCACGCCATCCTGCGTCTGGACCTGGCCGGCCGTGACCTGACCGACTACCTGATGAAGATCCTGACGGAGCGCGGCTACAGCTTCACCACCACCGCCGAGCGGGAAATCGTGCGCGACATCAAGGAGAAGCTGTGCTATGTGGCGCTGGACTTCGAGCAGGAGATGGCGACGGCGGCCAGCTCGAGCAGCCTGGAGAAGAGCTACGAGCTTCCCGACGGCCAGGTGATCACCATCGGCAACGAGCGCTTCCGCTGCCCGGAGGCCCTGTTCCAGCCGTCGTTCCTGGGCATGGAGTCGTGCGGCATCCACGAGACGACGTACAACAGCATCATGAAGTGCGACGTGGACATCAGGAAGGACCTGTACGCCAACACGGTGCTGTCTGGAGGCAGCACGATGTACCCGGGCATCGCCGACCGCATGCAGAAGGAGATCACGGCGCTGGCTCCGAGCACGATGAAGATCAAGATCATCGCGCCGCCGGAGAGGAAGTACTCTGTCTGGATCGGCGGCTCCATCCTGGCCTCGCTGTCGACCTTCCAGCAGATGTGGATCTCCAAGCAGGAGTACGATGAGTCTGGCCCCTCCATCGTCCATCGCAAGTGCTTCTAAGCGCTATGTTTCCGGTGTGATTGAGATGCTTGTGGATGACTCTTTATTTGTATCATGAGAAGGTGTATTTTCCGTTACATCCAGTGATGTTCCAGTGAGCATTCCGATTGCAAGTGAGAGCATTCCGACTCGATGGGGCCTATTGAACTGCTTTGCCGACATGGGGCTCTAGGAGGCCGTTTGACTGTGTTATTTATGTTGTAAATGCCTTACTTCAGATCTTGTTCCAGCTTTTGACTAGCCTAGGATCTGGACTTTGCATGCCACTGACGGGCGAGACGGCGGTCTCGAGCCATATTCGTTTCCATCGATTCCGCTGGTCAAATGTCAGGTGTAACGCCGCACGAGCCTGCCGATGATTGGTAGGACCAAATACAGTCTTTGTAATACAAATGGTAAACCGCTTGAGATGGCTTTCGGATTTTGGAATGTCTGGTGGCGAGGGTGAGCAATGACAGGAATGGAAGTTGCTGGCTTCCACTTAAGATTCCTTAGTTCGGGATGTGCAACCTCCCGAAGAGAACTTTTTGAATCGTTTTGGTTTGGAGGAAAGCTAAGTGGAAGAAAAATTCCTCTCATGAGAACTGTTACGGCTTCTGATAACAGTTTTGCCGCCGGCGTTCGATACGGCAGCGGACGCTGAGGGAAGGACAGGTGGAGAGGCATAGCGGTAGCGGCGAAGTCGCGGGGGTACGGTAACGTGGCGTTGCGGCCGGAGATAAAATCGCCCCGGTTCTGAGGTTTTTCGGCTTGTTCTTTGCGATCGGAACCGCTGTTCATTCCAGGAAAATCACAATTCTTGGCAGGCCGTTTAAACGGGGATATTGAAGCGGTTAAATGGCGTTATACTGCGACGATATTTCTGGAGGCCGGTTTCATACGCGTGAAGATCTTAAAATGGACCACATCCAATATGCGCAAACATTTCAACAGTCGTAAATAATCTTACTCCATCATAAAAATAGCGCAGTTTAACAACGCAGATCGGTTTTCCTCAGTGTTTGTCAAGTCATTAATACGCGTATGCAAATGTGCCAGTTGCGGTTTCCAAGTGCGGCCCACTATGTAACTAGCTCCACGCGTTTAGACCGCAAACCTACTGAAACGTCCGCTTATGCGATGAGCTGTTTTGTTCGACAAGCATGGTTAATAGCGACACTACCGCGTGCCGTATCTACTACTACGCATTGAGCCAAAAAGGCCGGAAGTACCTGGAAGGGCGGAACGCGCAGTCGAGCAGTGATCTGCTTTTCTATACGCCTACAAAATTGTTGAGACAGCACGGTGGATGTTCTGCGAAAGCGAAGTACACGGCTGCGTGCAGAGTTCCCAGTTGTTAGCCATCTTTTAGTAAGCTGTAGTTTGTCGCCAATTATTGGATCCCAAATTTTGTGCAAAAATTATTTCATAAGCGCTTCTACACGGTACGCCAGCTCACGTGTTTCTCAAAAGCTGAAGAACGTGTCGAGTTGAGCTTTTAATGGAGGCCTGGTAAAGGTGGGTGGTAGTTTTGATAAGTAATGAACATTTCACATCGTTGACCTCTTAATTTTGGTTGGATCTTCCAGTTGGATAGACAAAACGTGGCTGATGCTCGAAGACAGGTGCCGTGCCGAAGTCCTCTTATATCAGTTCCCCTCGCCCCATATTCGGCAACTGCAGCAGTAGACATCCACATCTGTGACGCGTTCCGTTGCAGCAGTTCTTTCGCATGTTTTTTTTTTTTTGTTGCCTTTCCTGTCCAGACCACGTCATGTTCTGAAAAACACCATTGTTGCATGGACGTGGTCGAGAGCTATTAAATGCTCATTGACGGACAAAGTACAGGGTGCTTTAGGTGAAATGTTATCGTCAATTTCAAAAGGGCTGTGGTATGCAAAAACATATTGCATTCGCACGTTTTTTTTTTGATATTACAGATATCTGAAGATTTTTTGTAAGGGTCAATTAAGCGATGCATACGAATTGGGCAGCTTGGTAAAAACATCTAGGACAACGCAGAAATTTCACACGAAACGGAGGCCGCAACAAAACGGCGTGACAAGCGCACTGGAATACATCGCTGGCGGCGGCTGGAACGGAACTGGGGCAGCAAGGGGCATCCAGCGTTGGCGCGAGGCGAACGTTATATTTGAGCGTGGACCGGTGGAGCCTACTTGAAGCAGAGTTTCTTTCTTCCGCTAGAGTGGCGATCAAGACATGCTTGTGAATGCATGAAGAGGAAGACTTTCCATAGCTGTGTAAGAGAGTTTGTTCCAAAACTTAACAATCCTGACGCTGACTTTGTCTTAGTTTTATCTTTCACTTTTGGCTCTAGTTTACATTAAGGTCTCCTTGTTTGATTCTTGACAATGTTGCACAATGTATTATTATGTTTCGTATCCAAGCGATAAGCAAATCAACCTGTACACGTGAGTCATGTCGTTCCCCGGTCGTCGTTACGAAAGGAAACATAAGTTAAAGGATCTCAACTTCGTTTGGTCATCGCAATTTATCAGACTTTTGCCATTCTAGCGCCTCGTTTTGGCCTTTTCTCTCTCTCTCTCTCTCTCCTCTCGCTCTCTCTCTCTCTCTCTCTCCTCTCTCTCTCTTCTCTCTCTCTCTCTCTCTCTCTCTCTCCTCTCTCCTCTCTCTCCTCTCTCTCCTCTCTCTCTCTCCTCCTCTCCTCTCTCTCTATCTCCCTCCTCTCTTCTCTCCTCTTCTCTCTCCTCTCTCTCTCTCTCTCTCCTCTATCTCTCTCTCTCTCTTCCCTTCCAAGTCATCTTCAGATACTTCTATCGGAACATCAGATCTCTAGTACTATGCTTCCGATACTGCTAGTAGTACGTCCCATAACAAAATATTATTTCCTAACATCGGATTGGATCAGGATGTTAATCAGTTCCTGCAAGCATCTGATTATCACACCAAGCAGCTTTACTCGCACTTTTTAAATCGATATTTCAAGTGAAACACGTCTAGGGTTCATGATCATTTGCACATCCTTTGCGACAATAACGTCGACTTTATGCTTATGGTATGTGCGACTTATGATGCACTTGAGATACATTAGGCATGTTTTCCAGATATGATGTATGATGAGTAGATTACGCACACACCCACACCCCACACCCCATACCACACACACCCACACCCACACCCACACACACCCACACCCCACACCCACACACCACACCACACCCACACCCACACCCACACCCACCCACCCACCCACACCACACCCACACCACACACACACACACACACACACACACACATGCATATATATATTACTATATAACAAGCTGTCATTTTTCATAATATATATATATATATTACATATATTAGCTTTCATTTTTCATAGATATATATATATATATATCTATAATATATGTCAAGTAACATGAGTTATTTACAACTTTCATGTATTCGGGTACCAAACTCATCGTCATCTGACGTTCAGTTCAGGAACAGCTCTCCTTAGGGTAGGGAAACGTGCACGTTATACGCTTTCAAACATCATGCCGTTTTCCTTTGGACGCGTTTTTAGCAGTTTTCCGGGACATTGAGGCCACATCTTCAGGTGTGCAAAAATGAAAATGGGCGAAAATCGTGAGCGCAAATCTTTATATGCGGGAAAGCGCCTTCGTCACTGGGATGAAATGTAACGCGAAAAGTTGGTAAAAATCCCAACATACGTCCAAAGGAAAACGCATAATGTCCGAAAGCATATGATGTGCAGATTACATTTCCCTGATGACATCTGCTCCTGAAACTGAAAGTCAGATGACGACGCATTTGGTAAAGTAGGAATTCGGCACTGCTTGATTTCATGTCATTGTTGGCTATAAAAACCACGTGTGAAAGCCTTCTCAACAGGCCTTAAGACCCCTTTACACACCCACGGTCGATTCGTCCTCGATTGCAGCGATTGTGCTGAAAAAGACCTCAAATGGCTTTCGCAACTACGATGCGACACCATTGTCCGTCGCTGTTTGCTACAATGCCTGAGCCGGAAACGTCAGATTGTCGGCATGTCCCGCATGCGCGGTAGGGTGATCTGAAAACAATCACAGGCCGCGGCTGCTACTTTTCTGCTTGTGCCACTTTTCAAAAGACAGGAGCGCTTGTTCTCTTGTTTGCAAGTTGCCAAAACCAACGTATAGTCGCACTTGGTTGGTGTTACGGTCGCGTATGCACACAGTCTTTAAAGCGAACCCGCCGAGCGATTTGGTTGACCTCTGTTAGTTCTGTATTTTACTACAAATTACAAAAATAATGCTAGTAGCGCTCGGCGCACGGTGAGGATAGTATCTGTAAAAGATTATGTCAACATTCTAGCAATGTTATATTTCAATTAGCCTTCACTATCTTTGCGTACAATCCCAAAAAAGTCTTCCAAGGCTTTTCGTCAAGTCCCTTTGATGTCCAAACTCCGTCCACGAACATTTGGCTATTTTATACAAACAGCTATTTAGCAGTAGCTATTGCAGGCACAGAGATGCCAGCATACGAACAGTCCGATGGCAAAGGCAAAAGATAGTCCGCGTTTTTCCCAACAGCGGCAGTGCAGCTTTCATTTTTTCGCACCAGCGTGATCGAGGTGGCATTCGACCGACAACCTCGATGACCAAATTCAAGATCAGCGGTTTCTGTCTGTCATCAGCAATGCTGCACATCCATCAATCGCGACTCCGCAGAAGATTGCTCCAGATGGACCTCGGGCGGCCCAGAAGAATGCGGCACCGCCCAGCACCAGATCGGCCGGGTCGGACCTGCTGCAGGCGGCCGATCATCCGGTCGACCTTGTCGGTGGATGCGGTGTTTGACGCGTCCTGTCTCCAGTCCGATGGCGGTCATGAGCTCCTGGAGGCTCGCTGCCATGTTCTTGCGTGGATGGAGTCTTTGTGGTGGTCGCCACATGGTCTCCACAACGTGAAGTTCACAGGCGACAGGACAGGCGAGTGAGAAACCCACAGCGCGCGAGTCTTCAGGATGGCGTGCCTTCAAGGACAATGCTTCTTCAACGATTCCAGCGCGGCCCGTGCCATGTGCGCTATCGCACCATCTTGCTTTAGTCGCTAGTGGTCCTGATCGGTCAAGTGATCGGTCCAGTGATCGGTCCAGTGATCGATCGGTCCAGTGAAGTCGTCCCACGGCACCCTGGACAGGGCTTCCCAGGGCGGAAGTGATACTATGCTCCGGGTGGTGTGACAGTGCTTCGTCCCTCTCGTCTTCCAATAAGCATATTCAGTGCGGTCACGATTTCGCGAATGTGAGGTCACCGCTTATCACTGTTTTATGATCATGTTTTGCCACTGAATGGGCGTTCAAGTGCCACCACCGTCTGGATTGTGCGATACATATACTTGTCACGGTTGAATAAAACGCGGGCTAACTTTTGGCTGTGCACCCTGTACCCGTTTTCC